AAGCCTGGAATATGTTGTTGAAACATGAAGAAATCAAAGAATGGGGCCAGGCGCGGTGGCTCAAGCTTGTAATCCCAGCACTTTGGGAGGCCAAGGTGGGTGGATCACAAGGTCAAGAGATCGAGACCATCCTGGTCAACATGGTGAAACCCCATCTCTACTAAAAATACAAAAAAAATTAGCTGGGCATGGTGGTGCGTGCCTGTAATGCCAGCTACTCAAGAGGCTGAGGCAGGAGAATTGCCTGAACCCAGGAGGCGGAAGTTGCGGTGAGCCGAGATCGCGCCATTGCACTCCAGCCTGGGTAACGAGAGCAAAACTCCGTCTCAAAAAAAAAAAGAAAGAAAGAAATCAAAGAATGACAGGGATGTATCAAAAAAGATCCAGAAACCATTCAGAAGGGACTTCCTTGGCCACATCTGGTATAATATAAGCAAAAAAGTAGCCCATTGAATAAAACAAAAATTAAAACCCACTGAGTAACCCACAGTAAGAATCATTTGTCCTTACTGATATACATAAATGAATAAAATGAAACTCTGATGAGGAACAGGGTATTTACATAATCTCAGAATACCTCTCCAATTATTGATTACGAAGAGAAAAAGCATAAATTTAAGGTACAGAAGCCTGACAGACATCATCTTTCTTAAGTGCTCAAAGTTAACACAACCAATTTGATGGAACAAAGCAAAATCCTGTACCACCTGACAGGAAGCGTCACTTCTGATATATTGTTATATTCCTGCCAAAGATGCAAAACCTGAATCTTGTCTTGAAGAAACATAAGAGAAATCCAAATGGAAGGATTTTCTACAAAATGATTGTGCTATCATCTTCCAAAGTGCCAGGATCATGAAAGTCAATGGAACATGAGGAACTCTTCCAGACTGAATCGAAGAAAGCATGACAGTGAAATGCAATGCATTATTCTGAACTGGATTCTTCTGTTATCAGGGATATTATAACAGACAATTGGCAAAGCATGAATGATGTAAGTTGGTAGCAACATATTTCCCAATTCTCAGGACTGGATGATGGTTATTTAGGAAAGTCCTACTTTGAGACTAAGTTTGATGACAAGGTCCATACAATATTTTTACAGTTGAGGCTTTCTTCACCATTGACTTGGATTCTTTCAGGTATCACACTCTGCTTAAAACTATCCAATGATTTCATCTCTCACTCTACAAACTAAAGTCCTTTCAACGGTCCATAAGTCACAGTGGTATAGCAGGCCATTACTATACTCTAGAATGCTATAAGCTTTGGAGAACCTGTTGTTAAAATTTTAGCAGTTCTGCAAAGCAGGTCAACTCACCCAGTTGGTAGGTTGAAGGTCATCCATGGCAAAAGTATTCACACCAAAGAAATCAACAAATACTGTAAATCAAGACCTTTTGTTTGTCTTTTTGTTTTCATGGAGAGTAGAATATTAAACATGTACCAGCACACTGTCATAAGATGTTTTACTATGTGTTGCCCCACCTCACCCACATCTCTCTGAACTAGGAACCCTTTCAAACGTACTTTCTCACAAATGGAAATTGTCTCACACAAGTATTTCACTTCTACATCTCACCCTTTTTAGTTTAATACTCAAATGTCTATTTCTCATTTGAAATAAAAGATTGTAACTTTTTCCTCCTCATCCCTTTTGAAATTTTTTCTCTACTTCTATCAAATATATAATTATTTATTTTGTATATTCTCTGCTGCCTCTTCTGTACTGCCACCATTAGACTGTAAGCTCAGCAAAGGCAAGTATTCTTGCCTTTGCTGTTATTACTGTTCATGGCTGTATCCTCAGCACTTAGAATTTGATTTTTCCATACTAGAGTAAGAACACAATAAACATCTGTGGATTGAATAAATGAATGGCCAAAGTTTATCACAAAATGCTAAGATGGTTTAACATAAATAGATCTTTACATCTGTGAATGGAAAATGAGGAAGCCAGACTCTTTTTAACAACCCACTATTGCAGGAACTAATCCATTCCTGAAAGAGAACTCACCTACCCATCTCCCACGGGAGGGCATAAATCTATTCAAGAAGGATCTGCCCCCAGGAACCAGGCACCTCCCACTAGTCTAGTCCCTATGTCTCAACACTGCCACATTGAGGATCAACGTGACAAAACGTAGGGACAAAACACATCCAAACCACAGTTATTAGGAACGGGAACACCAATATTTACATTAACTACAAAACAGACTAAACATTTTAATTAAAACGCACAGATCAGAATGGATTTAAAATCACCAAACTATATATATTTTTAAAAACAGCATATAGTTTTATGCTACTTTTATAGAAATATGTATTTTTACAGTTTTATGCTTTATACTGGAAGACCTAAGACAAGTTAAGAGGGTAGAAAAGACATACTATGCAAGCAGTATAGTCGATTGATTTCTCATGAAGATATAGAGTTACTTTAATGGGAGAAATTATGGCCTTTTCAACTGATGGTGACAGAATAACTGGATATCCTTATACAAAAAAAAAAAGAACTTTGATCCCTACCTTACTGCAAACACAAAATTGAATTCAACATGATCACAGATCAAAATGTAAAAGCTAAAACTATATAACTGCTAGAAAATACACTTAGCAAAAAATCTTCATGACCTTGAGGTAGGCAAAGATTTAAGACACCAAAAAAAAAAAAAAACCCTTAAAGAAAAAAAAGCAATAGAGTGGACTTTATTAAAACAATTTCTGTTCATCAAAGGACACTATTAAGAAAATTAGGCTGGGCATGGTGGTTCACACCTGTAATTCCAGCACTTTGGGAGTCCAAAGCGGGCAGACTGCTTGAGTCTAGGAGCTCGAGACCAGCCTGGGCAATATGGTGAAACCCTATCTCCACAAAAAAATACAAAAATTAGCCGGGTGCGGTGGCATGCACCTGTATCCTAGCTACTCAGGAGGCTGAGGTTGGACAATTGCTTGAGCCCAGGAGGTTGAGGCCACAGTGAACCATGATCACACCACTGCACTGCAGCCTGGGTAGTAGACTGAGACCCTGTCTCAAAAGAAAGAAAAAGAAAATGAAAAGGTCAGTCACAGATATGAATAGTAATATATTCACAAGGCACTTACATGAAAAAGCTCTTGTTTTGAGACTGTATAAAGAACTCTCAATTAAACAATAAGACAAATAATCTAATAAGCAGCAAAAAAATTAGAAGACCCTTTTAGAAAGAACATATATGAATTGCAAAAAAACAAGTGAAAAGGCACTTAACATTATTAGTCATCAGTGAAGTGAAAATCAAAACTACAAGATACTACTTTACACCCATTAGAATGGTTCAGACTAATAGGACTAACAATACTAAACCCAAGTGAGAATATAAGCAGTTGAAACTCTCATTTTTTTTTTCCTGGTTGAGTGTGTAAACTGGTACAATCACTTCGGAGAACTGTTTGGTAATTTCTCACAAAACAACACGCGTATCTGTCCCATGACCCAGAAATTTCAGGTAAGTACCCTTAGGTACTTACCTAAAAATAAATGAAAATGTATGTCCAAAAAAAGATTTATACAATAATGTTATGACAGCTGTAGTCATAATAAGCAAACTCTGGAATCAAGAAAAACATCCAGCAATAGGAAAACAGACAAATGAATTGTGGTATATTCATACAACGGAAAACTCAGCAAGAAAAAGGAACGAACTACTGATATATGCAGCCACATAGATGGAACATGAATCTTTAAAATACTATGGAAGGAATGCAGCCAGAAACAAAAAATGTGTATATATTGTATGAATCCATTTATAAGCAGTTCAGGAAATGTCAAAACTAAGTCCAGCAAAGTTAGGTTTCCTAATTTGCTTAAACAAGGGAGAGTAGTTTAAACAAGGGAGAGTAGTCCAAGGGAACTGTGAAAGAACCCTGGATGAGAAGAAGGGAGGGTTTCTTGGCATGTTGGTTTGTTTTTTGTTTTGTTTTGGTAGGACTTGGGCTCCTAATTACAAGGTGCACCAGAATTGGAGATATGTGTCCAAATTCAAGATTTTTGAAAGAGAAAAAGAAATACATTTAGAGTACTAAGTATTATTTCCATTTCAAGATTGAAGAAATTCAGATCAAATTATTCTAACTTTGTGAGGAAGCAAGCGTTTGAACTCAGTTCTCACGCCATATCCAACTGCCACACGACATATCTGGCAGATTGAGAGAAAAGAGGAAAAAACTAAGCATCAATCTACCTGTGACACTGTGTAATAACATTCTCAGGATTTTAACATGTAATTTAATCTCTCTCTGAGACAGCGATTACAAAGGAATAGGCAAGGGGACCACAAATCATAAAACTGCTTTCAAACAAAAAAAGAGAACATTTTCCCAGAAGTCTCTTGTTTGTGTAGTAAATAACAAGTTCAACGTTCTCATTGTAACTCAGAACATGAATAAAAGAACGAGCTCCAATGAGCAGTCTGCAACCTTTCTTAGTGGTTCACTAAACTCACGTTTATTGAATGATTGTGTGGTTTCTCTGCAAAGAGCAGTTTGAAGGGAAAAGACCCGAAGTTATTTACAAAACAAGACGCGAACACACAGGAACTGATCCAATGAGGAGGATCCCGAAGAGAAGTAGAGGAGGCATTTTTTGCATTGTTTTGTCGGAAACGCCAGGCACTGCCAAGAGTGTTTTATATCACCGTTCCTCAAATCTTAATGTGCATTTGATTCCTGGGAATCTTGTTTAAATAAAAGTTCTGATTCCGTAAGTCGGGTGTGGGGCTGAGACCCTGAGTTTCTAAAAAGCACCCCAAAGACACCCAGACTGTCAGTAGGGGTGGGAGTGGCGGAGGCGACTCCAGGGGAAAGCTTCAGTTTGAGTGGTCGAGAGGCTCTACGCAACTGGAAACAAGACACTCAAAGTCCCTCGTACCCAGAGAGGCAGAGAGAGACTCACCAGCCCCCAGCCCCCGGGAGCAGAAAAGCGTGCTGAGCACCGCGCCTAGGATCCCAGTTCTTACCCCAGGATCAGCAGCGCGCTCTGCAGCTGTCGCCGCACCTCCAGAAACACGCGCGTCTCCGCCGCAGTTGCCGCCATGGCGGGCGTCCAATCCCGGGATGAACCAAGCCGGAGGGTCCAAGGGGCGCGGGTCAACCTGACCAGGAGCGGTTCCACGTGCGGACCGCGGACCAACCAGCAGCAGCGCCGCTGCGGCGCAGGCGCCAGTACCGGACGCGCGGCTGACGCCGCCTACCAGCTCACAGCGCCGCTTGCCGGCCGGAGAGCGCGCTACAGTGAACGCGCGGGACCCCGGAGGGCGGGGCGGGGCGCGCGTTTTCAAAACAAGGCTTTGGCCCAGAGCGCTGAGAAGGGTGGGCGGCGAGAGGCAAGCTATCCTCCCACTCTGCTTCTTATGAGCGTGACTTGACACGTCAGCCTCCCTGGAAATGACCATAAAAATCAGACCCAGGTCACACTCCTTTGGCTAGCTCGAAGGGAAGGAGATGATAGAGGCAGGTGTTACAGGTGGGCTTTGTCCCCAGGAGATCCAAGAGCAGAATTCCCCGCCCCAAACCCACTTTATCCTGGTCTCTTTTATGAACAAGGACAGTTAGTCTCTGTCTAAAGCAACAAAAATTTCAAGAATTGACTTGCCATTGCTTCTCAACTTAGACAGGATAGCTCCAAAATTGAAACAGGTGCAAAAACGTAAGGAAGTATTTTGTTACTTGATGCAGAAGAGTGTGGCTGAAGTCTATCTTGAATACAGGATTAACCATTTTTTAGGGGTAAAAAAGCACGATGAGAATGATTACGTATGTACAGCTCCACTCTTTACTTTCACAGAAGTAAAAACTAAGGGAAGTCGTCATCCCATTACGACTAGAAGATAGTTTTGAAAAGTTTGACACAGTAAAGAACCTGATATAAGCCGGGCGCGGTGGCTCACGCCTGTAATCCCAGCACTTTGGGAGGCCAAGGCGGGTGGATCACGAGGTCGACAGATCGAGACCATCCTGGTCAACATGGTGAAACCCTGTCTCTACTAAAACTACAAAAAAAATTAGCTGGGCATGGTGGCGCGTGCCTGTAATCCCAGCTACTCCGGAGGCTGAGGCAGGAGAATTGCCTGAACCCAGGAGGCGGAGGTTGCGGTGAGCGGAGATCGCACCATTGCACTCCAGCCTGGGTAAGAAGAGCGTAGCTCCGTCTCAAAAAAAAAAAAAAAAAAAAAAAAAAAAAAAAAAAAAAAAAAAGAACCTGATGTAATGTAAATACTTATAATGAAGAACCATTAAAATGTAAGACCAGGGTAGAATTTACAATAGGATTTCTTAAAAAGAAGAAGCTGCTATTTTTTTAAAACAAAAATAGTCGGGGCCGGGCACGGTGGCTCAAGCCTGTAATCCCAGTACTTTGGCAGGCGAGGCTGGTGGATCACGAGGTCAAGAGATCGAGGCCATCCTGGTCAACATGGTGAAACCCCGTCTCTACTAAAAATACAAAAAATTAGCTGGGCGTAGTGGTGCGTGCCTGCAATCCCAGCTACTCAGGAGGCTGAGGCAGGAGAATTGCCTGAACCCAGGAGGCGGAGGTTGCGGTGAGCCAAGATCAGGCCATTGCACTCCAGCCTGGGTAACGAGAGCGAAACTCCGTCTCAAAAAAAAAAAAAAAAAAAAAAAAAATAGTGATGGCTTGTATACATAAAACCTTGTTTATTGATGTTCTGTTTCATTATTTCAAAGTAATAATTACTGCACAGCAAACACATTAATTTGAAGTATTTCTAAACAAAAAAATTAGACCATATATATATATATTTGTCACGGAATTTCACTCCTGTCGCCCAGGCTGGAGTGCAGTGGCGCGATCTCAACTCACTGAGACCTCCGCCTCCCGGTTCAAGCAGTTCTCTTGCCTCAGTCTCCTGAGTAGCTGAAAGTACAGGCGCGTGCCGCCATGCCCGACTAATTTTTATGTTTTTGGTAGAGACGCGGTTTCACCACGTTGGCCAGACTGGTCTAGAACTCCTGGCCACAAGTGATCTGCCCACCCTGGGCTCCCAAAGTGCTGGGATTACAGGTGTGAGCCATAGCGCCCGGCCTATACCATAAATAAATTCTTTTTTACTTTTATTTATTTATTTTTTTGAGATGGAGTCTCACTCTGTTGCCCAGGCTGGAGTATAGTGGCGCGATCTCGGCTCACTGCAGCCTTCCACTCCCGGGTTCCAGCGATTCTCCTGACTCAGCCTCCCCGGTAGCAGGGATTACAGGCGCAAGCCACACCCAGCTAATTTTTGTATTTTTAGTAAAGACAGGATTTCTCCATGTTGGCCAGGCTGGTCTCGAACTCCTGACCTCATGTGATCCGCCCGCCTTGGCCTCCCAAAGTGCTAGGATTACAGGCACGACCCACCTAGCCCAGACAATAAATTGTAAATAAATAAATCCTGTCATATATTTTAAGATAATAGCTTGAAACGATTTTTCTACAATCAGTATTTGGGGTTATTAAAGTTCATCATGTTGATGCACAAATTATTATATCTATCACAATAATTTGAAATCATACATGGAAGCAACAACTCACTGAAAAAATTAAGTTTACTACTATTTGATCTCAATTCATCTATTTGAAGGATGATGATTTCAACTATTCATATCCTCCTTTAATCCTCGAAGCTATTGAATGTTTAAATATTGACACATTATACTGAAATACACATCTTCCTTAGCACAGCTTACTTTTCGTAATTGTTTGTCAGCTTCAAAGATTGCTATATATTTAATTACGTATTTGTAAAAACTTCAATCTATTTTTTTTGACCCTACAGTGTTAACAAAACGGTGCAATCCACCTTGGAATAACTAGACATGATTGACAGAAAAGAGCTCTAGATTCAAAATAGTTCCGAATCTGATACCCAATATTTGTCTCCTAACTTCACAAGTCTCCTAACCTCTCTGGGCCGCAGGTTACTCACATGAAATACTGAGAAACTATTAAAATAATATCTACATAGTTATTTAAATAATATTTAAAACCTGTTTTGGGTTCCTATTATCCCTTCAAAGGCGTCCCCAAACTTTTTACACAGGGGGCCAGTTCACTGTCCCTCAGACCGTTGGAGGGCCGCCACATACTGTGCTCCTCTCACTGACCACCAACGAAAGAGGTGCCCCTTCCTGAAGTGCGGCGGGGGGCCGGATAAATGGCCTCAGGGGGCCGCATGCGGCCCGCGGGCCGTAGTTTGGGGACGGCTGCTTCAAACTCTCCATCAAGATGAGACTGGCGCTGGCAAGTTGAAAACACCTGCTAAACCCCTTTCTAGCCACTCCTGAAACTGGTAGCCTATGGCCGCTTCCCGCGACAGTCCACTTGAGGGCGCTGTGGCAACAGCTAGCGCAGTGAGGCAAGAAGCCGACCGGGGGCGGGGATCGAAGTCCGCAGACGTCGACGCCGGCGTGGGCGCGAGCGCGGTGCACGCTGGGAGCTGTCACTAGGCCCTTCGGCTCCCGGCCTCGGTGAAGCTGCCGCGGTTGCCAGGAGAGCGGTGCCGGCGGGGAGCGGCTGAGCCCGCAGCAGGTAAGAGCGTTCCCGCCCCCGGTGCGGTCGCTAGGCTAGTCGCCGGCTCCGAGCATCCTCCTCGGCCAGGCTAGGCTAGGTTCTGAGCCGCCGGCACTCCTCGCGGGTCTGCCTACTGTGGCGTCGAGGGTATTGTCACTCTGGCCCCGCCTGGAGCCGTGAAGCTGGTCAGCCGGCTTCTGGTTTCCGGGAAGTCGGGAGCTGCGCGGGGACTGGAGGGCCAGGGCTGGGGCCGGAGCCAGGACCGGGCGGAAGCGCGAGGGCGGCCTCGGGCCAGGGAGGCCGGAGGCGGGGCCGGGCCCCGGGGCAGGTCCCGAGCCTCCCGAGCTGGGGCGGAGCAGTGCGCAAGCTGGGGTAGAGGTCGCACCTGTGAGGTGGAGGCGCGCCGACTACCCTCTTTGTTGGAGGAATCGAGGCATTGTGCCTTCTCCTCAGCTGGTGGGTTCTTTCAGCATTGAGGAGACACGGAGGCCCGCGGGGGTTCCTGCACGAAGTTTATTAAGAGAAAGTCCGAAGAGTCAAACGGCGGTTGTTAACAATTATCACCTTTGATTTCCTAGCCTTTTAAAGTTGCAACATAGCAATAGTCACTTGTTCGGCCTCCTCCATTCCAGTACCCTGAGCGGGCGGGGAATGCACACAACTATTCTCAAAAGCTAAGTAAATTGTGTTTTGAACATTTTTACACTATCTTAGAGTTCTGTGGAGCTTGAAAAATATAAAGATTGGGAAAATTACTTCGACTCCAGCTAAAGCAGTCAAAAAATTGTAATTACCGAAAATGTAGGAAACTGTTTGCTTGACAAATAGGCCCTGAACTGTAGAGAGACAAATAACTGTTTTGATGTTGTTGGCTATTGTCTATGCAGATATAAGTTATTTACTTTTAATTTTGTTTGTAGGTATTAATATGATATATAGTGAATAACATGTCAGCGTTACTGTGTTAAGTAACTCACCACCTGATAGGTAACACAGTGATTTACGTGGACCGACTGAAGTTATGAGTAAATTAAAACCACCGAGTAGTCTAAATGCTTTATTTTAGTGATTACTTTCAGCCACAACTGATAACTAAAACATTCTCTATAATTGTTAAGCAGTAGCAAATCTCCACGTGGGCTTGATTATTGGGGAACCTAGTGCTGAAAGAACTAGAAACACCTGAGTTAATACACAAACCAGAAAATGTGACGCCATATCCCAAATCTTAAATGTAAGGTAAGTGTTGTCAGTTAAATGTTTGATTGTAGATGTTCAAAGAATTCCTATTTTGTAGTTAAAGTAATGGAATGAGCTCTGACTTTGGGATGGAGATTAGATTCAAGTCCTTTAGTATGCTACTAACCAGGTGTGATCTCTAGGCTTTAGTTTTGTCATTGTTTAAGGGAATTTGAAAAGACCAGGATTTTCCAAACTGGTGTTTCCCTCAGAACAGTCTTCTAAAGTCATTTGATAGGCTTACTTCCCCCAAAGCAGTGTTAGATGGCAAATAATTTGAGAGCACGCTAGGTTAAGCTAGGTTTAACTTTTTTGCCTTTAAAGGCCGGACTCTTCAAAACCTTTACTGTTAGGCTCATACATGTAAATCTCCAGGGGAAGGTTATCCTAGCATTCCCTATACTTACCTAATCTATTTTCTCATGGCCAATTGGTTAACAACGCTCAGAATATAATTACATGGAATACAAATTTGAAAACTACTGTACTTGAGCTGAGTCCCTTTCAACTATAAAAGTCCATGCATTAGGCTTGTTTTTTTTTTTTTTTTTTTTTTTTGGCTGTCATTCATTTTAAGCTTTTTGGAGCATGAAAATCTAGTGCCAACTCACTTGTATAAAAAAAAAAAAGATATTTTTCTTAGTAAAACATTAAAGACACACTTAAATTCCCGTGAATCTTAATGCTTTAGTTATTGACAGAAGAGTTATTTTTTTCTGTTTTTAAAAAATTTTTTAAAACCATAATAACATTTTGAATTTGATTTTATGGTGGAGTGGAGTTGATGTTACTCAAAATGGTGTTTTAAAGTTCCAGGTGAAAACTTGTTGATAATGGCATCACTTTTATTATTTCTCCTTAAGTCTTGAATTCCTAAAATGAAATTGTGGTACAAGCCACCCCAAATGTGCTTACTGTGTAATAACTACATAATTTTAAGAGGTTATATCATGGAAAAGAGCTAAAGGCTAAAACACAAATTCTGAGACGGTTATTTCTAAATTGCTTTACAAACAGGATGTGTGCTGAACACAATCTTAAATTGTTTTGCTAAATTCTGTTAAGTTTCAATAGCACACAACCAGTGTGGGTATTCTGTCCATTCTTTGTTACTTTCTTAGGGTGAATGGTGTTAATGTACAATTTTGCTTGGGCATAGAGGTGGGAAAAGAACATGAAATTTTAATAGATAAGCCTTAATTCAGGTAAATTCTCTCCCTGGAACTATTAAGTAGAAATGTAAAACTAATATTTTTTGTGTAATAGCCAGCAGTTTTAATTGAGAATTTATTATATGAAAATATGATCCATTTGTCTTTAATTGGCGGTTTCCCTTTTTCTTTTATTGTATTTACTTCCTCCTTTGCAAGCTATCCAAGCCTGAAATCTCAGTGACCTTTCATTGCATTGGTCAATGATAGGGTATCACATTTACTAAAGAAAAATTTATATACACTGCTGTACATTCATTTAAGTGTGCATTTCAACAAGTCTTAGTAGATGTATATGCGCCTGTGTGACTACCACCACTATCAAGATTTGGAACATGCCGCCACTCAAGCACATATTATACTTTTACTTTCTCAGGATGTTCTGCTGTCTCTAAGTGTCTAAATTATACCTGTCTTTCAAGACCTAGCTCAAATGCTACCCTGTGAACCTTTTTTTAATTGCCTCATTTTGAATTTATTTCCCCCTCTTCTGACTCTCCTTTTCACATTGTTTTAAACATTATTATCTGTTCTTTGTGGTGGCTAACCCAATGGCGAACATAGAGCCGGCACTTATTTTTTGACCACATGGATTAGTGTAATATTTTCTAAACTTCAGTCGTGATACCATCTTCAACATTTTGGCCATATATTCCTATTTGGCATTCTGTTATTAATATTTCTTTATATCAATGTGTAATGTTTTAAAGGAAACGAGATAACTGAGTAGAAGGCAGGTGGCACTTGGCATAAACAGAAGCTGGACATGTATGTAAAAATAATGAAAACCAAATGTTTTCAATTTCTAGCTAGAAACTATTCCCTGCCAGAGGTTCTACGTCTAAAACTTGCCCTTTGTTTAAAAGTAAGATTGGCAAGAATTTCAATGATGTTAACATCTTGGCACCAAACTGGGACTTTGTTCTCGATACAGCCAGAAGAACTGAAAGAGAATGAAGAGGGAATAACTGATTTTGTTGTTGTTGTTTTTTTTTTTTTTTTGGAGAGATGGAGCCTCGCTCTGTCACTCAGGCTGGAGTACAGTGACATGATCTTGGCTCACTGCACCCTCTGCCTCCCAGGTTTAAGCTATTCTCCTGTCTCAGCTTCCCAATTACCTGCGATTACAGGCGCCTGACATCACACCTGGCTAATTTTTGTATTTTTGGTAGAGACGGGGTTTCACTATGTTGGCCAGGCTGGTCTCAAACTCTTGACCTCAGGTGATCTGCCTGCCTCTGCATCCCAAAGGGCTGGGATTACAGGCATGAGCCACCACACCTGGCCCTTCATTTGATTCATTGTCACTTACCTCTGCCCTCAGATCTGATAAAATCATCTCACATCTGTCCGTTTGGTGGCCTAAATTTTTGTAGATACCAAGTAAAGCAGTGCTTGAAAATGCCTTAGAATTTTATCTGTGCAGGGCCAGGCGCGGTGGCTCAAGTCTGTAATCCCAGCACTTTGGGAGGCCGAGGTGGGTGGATCACAAGGTCGAGAGATCAAGACCATCCTGGTCAACATGGTGAAACCCCATCTCTACTAAAAATACAAAAAATTAGCTGGGCATGGTGGCGTGTGCCTGTAATCCCAGCTACTCAGGAGGCTGAGGCAGGAGAACTGCCTGAACCCAGGAGGCGGAGGTTGCGGTGAGCCGAGATCAGGCCATTGCACTTCAGCCTGGGTAAAAAGAGTGAAACTCCGTCTCAAAAAAAAAAAAAAAGAATTTTATCTGTGCAATAATTGAGAAATAAAGTCTTAATTAAACTGAGAAGTGTACTACATTTACCTTAAAAAATATTGTACAAAAATATAGTTACTTTAGAAAATACAGTACAATAATATCAATTCTTGAGTCAGATATGTCTTTATTTTTTCAAAAATGTTCTGAATGTTACTGATGTTACATCTTATTAGGGTACATTACCCTTAAGATAAACATTTAAATCTAAAATCTAAATCTGAAAACAAGTGGGAACCTGTTAGATGACAAAGTGATGACTGTTGATTCAGGAGTGATGAAATGTTAATATAATTATCTAGGAAAGCTGCTGTATGAGTAGATGAGGTATTAAAGTTAATCTCCTATCGCCTTTAGTTTTTTCTGTCATCACTTAAGTTTTATATAGCTATATTTTCATATTTCCATCCTGCTGAAGACATTTCTAGACTTTTTCCTTCTGAGATGACACATTCTACTCTCCCATGGAAAGAGTTTCATATGAACAGACTGGAAAATAAATTCCCTGCTCTTAGTTTGTAACATACATCTTTTTCTCTTTGTGTGTTTTGTTTGTTTTTTTGAGACGAAGTCTTGCTCTGTCACCAGGCTGGAGTACAGTGGCGCAATCTTGGCTCACTGCAACCTCCACCTCCTGGGTTCAAGCGATTCTTCTGCCTCAGCCTCCCGAGTAGCTGGGACCACAGGTGCGTGCCACCACGCCTGGCTAATTTTCGTATTTTTAGTAGAGGTGGGGTTTCACTATGTTGGCCAGGGTGGTCTAGATCTCTTGACCTCTTGATCCACCCACCTCGGCCTCCCAAAGTGCTCGTATTACAGGCGTGAGCCACCGTGCCTAGCCTTGTAACATGCATCTCGTATGTAAAGTTACTGTAGTTACTTACAGGCATATATCCATATTGTGAGCCTAAAGTTTGCTGTTACTTTATGTCCATGAACAAAGAGCTTGGGTAAATAGACTCTTTCATTTGGTATTAACTGTTTTCCAAAAAAAAATTAACCTGAGTAGTGATAAGTTTATCAATACACACAGTTATTTGCTACTCAACCAGAGGTCAGATTCCTTTTAATCTAAGATTCTGGGATACAACCTCAAAAATTGGAAATAAGAAAAGAGCCATCTTGGATGCATAGCCCTTATTTTGCAAACAAGTGGTTTCTTTCCTGCTTCTCTACAGTAAAAGGAGCAGTATAGAAGCAGTACAGCTAAACTGTCATCGTTTAGAAGTGACAGCTGACTGTAATCTAAAAACCATAAAAGCACTGCAGTCTTAGTCCTTTGAATCATACAAGTAAATAGCCCTATGTTTTTCAGTTGCTACTGATTGTGCTGTTATGTTATGAAAAGGTACTATAAAGTATCAGCTACCTAAACCCTTAGAATATGTGTTATTTTTGTCAAATGTTCTAGATAGCTAGAATTTTTTATATACTCCAAATGCCATCACAGAGCACTGATTATGCTTTTTGCTTGTGTTCAGCATGATGCAGCTGGCACAGTGGCTTTTTCATACATGCTTAACAGTTTAAAAATTTCCTGGTGAGGTTTTTCTCCTGCTGGCCTGTGAGAAAATAGAATATAGTACAGTACTTGCTTTTAAAGTTAGGCTCTGACATTTTGGAAGAAACATGTATTTGAATAACTTCCGTATTGTATACAGCATTACCACCAATTAGCAGTTCATTTTTTGGCGGGCTAGGGGGGTTTGGGGGGGTTGGGTACTGAGTCTCGCTCTGTGACTCAGGCTGGAGTGCAGTGGTGTGATCTCAGTGCTCACTGCAACCTCCACCTCCTGAGTTCAAGTAATTCTCCTGCCTTAGTCTCCCATGTAGCTGAGACTACAGGTGCACAGCACCACACCTGGCTAATATTTTTTGTATTTTTTAAAATAGAGATGGGATTTTGCCATGTTGGCCAGGCTGGTCTCAAACTCCTGACCTTGAGATCCGCCCACCTTGACCTTCCAAAGTCGTGGGATTACAGATGTGAGCCACTGTACCCGATCAGCAGTTCACATTTCAGCTTGAATGAGGGGTTCCAGAAATATTATATGGCCTCTGACATTTTATTGGAAGGCTGTTCTCAAAGCACTGTGTCCCAAAACTATCTGATTCCATAACTTTAGGCTGTCAATTAGTTTTGTGTAATCTGGTAACTTTTATTATGTCTTAATATATAGAGGTTGTGGTTGAAAAAAGGAAAATATTATTTGAGAATAAACTTTTTAAGTTATCTATTGATATATGACAAATTATCTCAAAATATAGTGATTTAAAACAGTATCTCCCACAAATGTTGTCAGAGGGGATAGGGAAGTTGTTTGGGTTGAGTTCTGGCTTGAGTTTCTTATGAGGTTACAGTCTGATGTTGGCGTCAGCTGCAGGCAGCCTGATTGCAGTTGAAGAACCCACTTCCAAAGTGGTTCACTCATGACTGGCAAGGCAAGTTGTTTCTGGCTTTTAGAGTAAAGACTCAGTTACTCCCATGTGGGCCTCTTCACAGGGCTGCTTGAGTGTCCTTCTGACATAGAGGCCAGCTTGCCCCAGAATAAGAGATTCTGGAGACATTAAGGTGGGAACTGCACTGTCTATTATGGTCTTTTACTTCTGCAGTGTTCTACCGATACTCACAGAGGCCAGCCATATTCCGTATAGTAAGGAATTGCACAAGAGCATGAATATCAGGAAGTGAGGATCTTTGAAAGTCATCTTGGAAGCCAGTATGTAATATGTATCTAAATTGTAAGCAATACCTATTTACTCCGTATATGGTATATACACACTTCATTATGATTTTGGAAAGAATATTCAAAGATTAACTTAAAATGCCACTTGAAAATTAATGTGCCATGCAAATCAAGCACTTTGACAAAATTCTTAGTCTCCATGGTCCTCTGGGAGGGGGTTATGATTTTGAGTTGAAATGTGGCACTTAAGATACAGATTTTGTTTTTCTTTTTGTTATGTATTGGATGAAAGGAAACATCACATTTTACAGAGTTGCTCTTTCATGTTCTTTAGAGACATTATTCATTATTTCACCCTTTATTACCATAGAGTAATATGATTTTAAAAGTATAAGTATAGACAGTCCCCAAAACATGGTAGTTTGACTTTACACTGATGCAAAAATGATACACATACAGTAAAAACTGGACTCGTAGTACCCATACAACCATTTTGATTTCTCCTTCCAGTATAGTATTTAATAAATTACATGAGCTATTCATTTTATTATAAAATATGCTTTATATTGGGTGATTTTGCCCAACAATAGGCTAATGTAAGTGTTCTGAGCACATTTAAGGTAGGCTAGGCTAAACAATGATGTAAATAATAGTGAATCAATGTGATGTACTTAATACTACTGAACTGTACACTCAGTGATTAAGATAATAAATTTTGGCCAGGCTCAGTGGCTCATTCCTGTAATCTCAACACTTTGGAAGGCCAAAGCCGGAGTATTGCTTGAGCCCAGCAATTTTAAATGAAATGTTAAATACATTTTAACTTAAGATACTTTCAAGTTAGGATTAGTTTATGTAAATATAATCCATAAGTCAAGGAACGTCTGTACAATGAAAAGACTCCCTCTCCTGGACCCTCATCCCCCCGTTACCACCTGTCTCCTAGGAAGTAATGTTTTGTTTTCTTGTGTGTTCTTTGAGATAGGTATTGTACATATGCAAATTAATACATATTTTTCCTCTTTTAAGTGGTAGCATATTATAAACACTATTCTGAAGTTTGCTTCTTCTAGTTAATGTATCTTAGCACTTTAAAAATCAGTGTACAGACTTAATTATTTTTACCAGCTGAAAATATTCTATTGTCATTCAATTTTTATAATGTTTATTGACTATTTACTGTGGATCAGGCACTTTGCTAGGAGCTGGGGATTTGAAAGCTAAAATGACAGATGAGGTCTCTCTGTTGCAGGGATTACCACCCCTGGAGTTACAGTTCAATTACAATAAAGCAAGGTAAGTTCTATGATAGAGGAAGTTTACTGTGTAGTAGGAATTGACAAGAAGGAGGTGTGTATGTGAGTGTGGGAGAAATGGTGAAATGGTCACAGAATACTTCCAAAGGGGATAAAATCTCAAACCCAAATTAAATGCTAATTTGTATGGTCTAACGGTGTTTGACAGAGGTGCCAGGACGACTGAATGAGGAAAGTGTTGGGTAAACTGGTTAGATAGTAGATAGATAGTGTTGGGTAAACTGTTTAGATAGTAGATAGATAGTGTTGGGTAAACTGATACCTCCATGTGAAAAAATGAAGTTGTATGTCTATACCATATACAAAGATTAACAAAATGGATTAAAGACCTAAAGATAAGACCTAAAACTATAAAACTCCTAGGAGAAAACATAGGAGAAAAGCTTTATGACATTGGGTTTGGCAGTTTCTTGGATATGACAGCAAAAGCACAGACAATAAAAGCAAAAATAAAAAAAGGGATTATATTAATCTTAAAACTCTCTGTGCATCAGACAACATAAAGTGAAAAAGCAAACTATGGAAAGGGAGAAAATATTCATAAATTGTATGTTTTGATAAGAGGCTAATACCCAGAATACATAAAGAGCTCATCCAGTTCAATAACAGCAAAATAACCAAATTTTAAAATGGGCCAAGGACTTAAATAGACATTTTCCCAAAGATGATATATAAATGGCTTACAAACATATGAAAAGATGTTGAGGCCTGGTGCAGTGGCTCACGCCTATAATCCCAGCACTTTGTGAGGCTGAGGCAGGTGGATCAGGAGGTCAGGAGATTGAGACCATCCTGGCCAGAAACCCGATCTCTGCTAAAATACAAAAAATTAGCCAGGCATGGTGGTGCACACCTGTAGTCCCAGCTATTCAGGAGGCTGAGGCAGGGGAATTGCTTGAACCCAGGAGGCGGAAGTTGCAGTGAGCTGAGATTGCACCACTGCACTCCCTCTTGGCAACAGAGCGAGATTACATCTGAAAAAGGAAAAAACAATGTTGAAGATCACTAATCATTAGAGAAATTCAAATCAAAACCACAAGGAGATACCTAACCTTACACCCATTAGGATGGCTACTATTAAAAAAAAAGTGTTGGGAAGGATATAGGGAAACTAAAAACTTGTTGGGCACTGTTGGTAGGAATGTAAAATGGCTCAGCCACTGTGGAACACAGTATGGCTATTCCTCAAAAAAAGTTTAAAAAATTACTCTGTAAATTCAGCAATCCCAGTTTTGGATGTATCCAAAAGGATCAAAAAGGATCTGGAAGAGGAATTTGCACGCCCATGCTGATAGCACTATTCATAATAATCAAGAGGTAGACGCAACTAAATGTGCATCTGTGGATTAATGGATAAGCAAAATACAGTGTCTACATATAATGAAATATTAGCCTTAAGGAAATTCTGACACATACTACAACATAGATGAATCTTAAGGACATTATGCTAAGTGAAATAAGCCAGTCATAATAAAAAGACATACTATATGGTTCCCCTTAAATGAGGTATCTAAAGTAGTCTAATTCATAAAAATAGAAAGTAGAATTGTTGTTTAATGAGTTAGAGTTACAGTTTGCAAAATAAAAAGTTCTGGAGATTGGTTGTACAACAACGTGAATGTACTTAACCACTCAGTGGTTAAGATGGTAAATTTTGACCAGGCTCAGTGGCTCCTTCCTGTAATCCCAACACTTGGGGAGGCCAAGGCCAGAGGATTGCTTGAGCACAGAAGTTCAAAACCAGCCTGGGAAACATAGGAAGACCCCTAAAAAAACAAAAAAGTAATAAATGTATGCTTAAAAAAAACTTTTTTTTTGAGGACTGTAGGCTGAGCACAGTGGCTCATGCTTGTAATCCCACCACTTTGGGAAGCCAGGGCAGGAGGATCGTTTGAGGCCAGGAGTTCAAGACCAACCTGGACAAGAAAACAAGACCCTGTCTACAAAAAATTTTTTTTTTTTAATTAGCCATGGTGGCACCCACCTGTAATCCTGGCTAAGGCAAGAGGATTGCTTGAGCTCAGCAGTTAGAGACTTCAGTGAGCCATGATTGTGCCACTGCATTCCAGACTAGGTGACAGAATGAGACCTTGTCTCAGAAAAATAAAAAGGACTTTAAACTTTTAAAACATGAAGCATATGTACATTTTTTACATTTTATACTGTCATGTAAGCCATGTTTCTAAATCAAGAGTGTCCATACTTTCAGCTTCCCTAAGCTACATTGGAAAAGTCATCTTGGGCCACACGTAAAATACAGCTGATGAACTAAAAAGGTCCATGCATAAATCTCATAATGTTTTAAGAAAGTTTACAGATTTCTTGGGCCATTTTTATAACTGTTTTGGATTGTGGGTTGGACAGGCTTGTTCTGAATATTGAAAAAGATACTGATTTAAACATTAGCCAAGTCAAAGAGGTTGAATCACAAGGTATCATGCAGAGGCAATAGCATTTTAAGTTTAGTATGATTTAATACAAAATTAAATTCTGTCCGTAAAATTAATAGCATAAAGGCACTGAGATGGGAGGGAGCAAGTCTTTAACAGTGGACAATCGCCTAGATTTTGCTTAGCTGAGACAGAACTGTGAATGATAAGATTGAAGGAATGGGTCTACTTTATGAAGACCTTAGTTATATGGCAAACAGCTTGTATTTCATGTCTCAGGAAATGAATGTCACAATTATAGAAGTAATAAGAGCACTTCCTATGTTCTCAGTTCACTGAACTAAAGTGTTTTCCAAGGATTATCAAATGTACTTTTTTGAGCTTTTAACAGGGAATGTACTCCACCTGCTCTTTCCTGGGTAAAATTAATTGGCTCTTGGAGAAGGTGACGGTAGTGAAAATAGGCTGTTGCATAGTTTAGGTATAAAATAGGATACATGAATAAAAGACCATTCTGAAAAATGTGCATTTGTAGACTTTATTAAAACTGCGTCAAAACAAAATCATCCAAGTACAAACTTGTTCAATTAGGAAGATGATGGTGCAGTTGACAGTAATGAAGGAAAAAGGCAAATTCTGAAAACAGAAGCAGTGCTTGACAGATTTTACAGCATTTCTTGTATTGAAGTGATATTCTGACAACAGGTAGTATGAAATGGAAAGTAAGGAGAGGTGTAATAACAGTTTATGGTTCATCAGTATTTTTGAGGGTGCCTATATTTTGTAGAGATTCTGAATAAAGGTTTTACAATAAGCAATACCTTAATTTTGGTTCTCATTCTGTTAGGTGATTCAGAATCTAAAAAATATCTAGAGTTAATTCTCTCTTACAGAGTTAACACCTCAGCAAAGTTATTTTGTTCTTTCATGATGAGTGTTATTAATGCTGTTGTTTTGTTTTCATCTTAACCTTATAACATGAGGGGATGAACACTGAAGGGTTGTAGGAGCTGGGGGAAGGTCTGCTGTAGGCCGGACCCCATTTTTCTCAGTAAAGTATCTTGATATCCTCAAAATTCATTCTAGGTTTCTGTCCTTTGCTCATCAATGGAGTTAACCCTTGTGCAAGACTGCTTTCTGTCACCATTCTTTCATAGCTTTTTGTAAACTAATGTGCACAGATGCATGCATGGTCTGCATCCAGTGTGAATCCTTAGTTTTTAAAAGCCTTTAAATTACTCAGCCTGTTCGTGACTTTCTTTGTAATATTTTCATTTTATCCTTTAGATACATAGATATGATTGAATTTGCATCTCAGTGAATTTTTTGCATGTGTATTTTCTCTTATGATTTTACTTTTGGAACAGTCTTAATGTGCAGAAGAAAAAAATCTTTTAAAAAATTGCATGGGGTTTTTTTAATGGGAAAATTTTTTTTCTACTGGCTATGATTAAAATTTGTTTATAGATATTCAGCTAAATTGGAACACATTAGGAAGTATAGAAAAATGTTTGGCTAGAATGTATGGTACAGTGCTTTTATGTTAAGTTATGTAAAAACCAGTCTTTATTTTAAAATCCAACACTATAATAAGTTAATAGCATACTATTTATTTTTAAATGTTGAAAACATTGTTAAATTACTAATTTTTAAATATATTTTGTAAATAATGATTTGATTAACGTATGGGTTTCATTATGCTGTAAAAATTATTTTTGCTTATTTTACTTTATTTCTAATAGTATGTTTTAGAATATTTAAAAGTTTAAGCAAAATCGTTGTCATTAAATGAAGAACTATAGCTACAAATAAAGATACTAATTTTGAGAAAGGTACTTTCTGATGAAAAGTGACGTTTCAAATAAGCTGGGGAAAAAAACATGGTGGGATAGTTAAAAGTTATTCCTCATCTTCTATTTCACTTCTCTATTTCTAATCATTCTGAATAGCCATGCATTCATTTTTATCATTATTCTTATGTCTTACTTTCTGCTATATATAAAAAATAATCAATGTCTTCTTGCTTCTTCCAAACTATTAATGAAAGCAAAACAGAATATGGTCAATCTAGATAATTTAGATGTTCTTTAAGTGTACCGTTCTGATTTTACTCTTAGACTGACTTTTTTCCCTTGCCATCTAAAATGTTTGTTTCATTTCCCCCTACCCAATCAGTATATACACAGGGAAATCATTCATTTTAATGTTTGGAAAAACAAAACATTAGAAAGATATGTTTGAGAAAAGCAGATACATCCTAAAAGCAAAACTTAGTTGTTTGGGATTCTATTTTAGATTATTCACACAACTATTTTCTATAGATATGGTTAATACAATGATATATGACTAAACCAGAATATGTAATTGAACTATCAGTGATGTTCACAGGTTTCATCAAAATTTAGGAAACTTCTTTGATATATTTGTTTTCTGAACTATTGTTTTGTCCCCTCATAACTAATAACCCTCAGGAATTATGTCTCCTTTTGCCATGAGAAAAAAACTGTCTTTAGTAGGTCCTATAAGGCATCACCTAGATGCCTAATAATAGAATTTGTACACTAAAGCATACTCCTAGTAGATAAGGAAT